AAAACTAGCCGTCCAATAAGATTAATTCAATGCATACAAATATCAAAAAGTAGATATTAATATTACAGCAAAACTACATAAAGTATATTCATTTGCTTCCAATTAAAATGGGTTAATGGATTTTTAAATGATTTGTGCTTTAAAATTAAAATTATGAAATAATCTAATTTATTCAATTAATTTGCTAATTTGTATAGAAAAAAATAAAATAATTTAATTAATTCAATATAAAAAATAAAAAAATTATTTAATTTCGGTTCTTATTCGGTTCTTGGTCTAGACCCAAGACCCGACCCAAACCCATCGGTTCTCGATTCGGGTACCCGTTCGGGTATTTAATTTATGAAGAACCGCTCGATTTGGTTCGGTTCGGGTCGGGTTCGGTTCATGTCGGGACTTTTGGACACCCCTAATTGACACAAAGTCGCTTTTAAAGATTTTATACTACACCAAATTTTCCAATCTTTAAATAAAATTCCAACAAGATCATGTTCGGCCCTAACCTGATTCCCCCAGTGGAACGGGACGACTCTCGGCAGAACAAGGTTAGAACATTTTCCATCCCATATAATAAGTTGCATTTCACTTGACTCATTACATTATCAAGTGCGCGAGTTCATATTGAAAAGGCCTTTGAATTGGTAATCTTACACATGCATTCCAAGGACTGAGTCAATTTATGGGGAGAGAAAAAAATAGTATATCACAAGTTGGATAGGGATATGCACAATTGAAAAAGAAAATCAACCGCCTCGAATAAAAAAAGCAAATTATTTTGAACACGCAGCTCATGTTCAAGTCGTATTAATTTATTATTAAGAGTTTGATAATGTACATAATTTAACTAATTGGCTACGAGCAGAGGCATGAACCCACATCGTTAATCGTTTATCTGGTTTGATACAAAAGTAAAACATCTATAAATATTTCATCAGATATTTGTGTGTTGAGAGATTTAGGTGCATTGTTTGCTCATAAACTCGGATAGAATAAGGTAGATGATAGAGGAAATTACAGCCTCATAGGTTTTTAAGATACCATTTTCATAAATCCAAATCAACTTTAATAAACATAAATCAGGTTTTAATTAATAGTTTTTAAATTATTTTTTATTTAAATCGATCCTACACAATTTCAAGCCCTAATTATTTCATTTTCTCTCCCCTTTCTCTCTATCCCCGCCGTCGTCACCCCACTGGCACCACCTCGTCCGTACCTAAGCCGACAATCGACAGTTGCGGCACCGTGGGACAGGCTCAGAGTGGTCGCTTGTGCTGCAAGATCATCGACAAAGCGTGACGCCTCTGCGCACGAAGCAGCAACGATGCACGCTAATTGCCACTGCTTCATGCGCAGCGCACTTCCTACAGCAATAATGGCGCGCTTCAAATTCTTTATGTTTTCTCTTCATCCGTTGTGTTGTGTTAATGGTTATGATGTGGTGTGATAGAGGTGAAGATGGTTGATTTGATGAGGTGGTGGCTGTGATTTGTGGATGCTGGTCGGGGTAATTGTGCGGTGGGGAAGATGGCTGTGGGTTTGGGCATTTTTTTTTTTTTTTTGTTGGGATGGTGGTTGCGGTGCGATGGGTGAATGAATTGGTGTGTGTGTGTGTGTGTGGAGGTGCTGTGGGGTGAATGAAATGGTGTGAGTGGGTGTGTGCGTTGTGCTGTGGGTGCAGTCGCGGTCGTGGTGTAGTGTGTGAATGAATTGCTAAGGGGGGTGTCTGCGTGCGGCGACGACGATTAGGTGTGTGCAGGTCATGACGATGGTTGTGGGTAAGATGAGATGGACATTGGTGTCTGTGACCAATTATTTAGTTGATTGTAACCAATAATTGGTTAATTTTTGACAAATTAATAATGTGTGTCCTAAAAATTGTGATTGTGACTCACAATTTATTAAGTTATAATCGAGTTGTGACCAATAAAAGTAATCTGTGACCTATAATTTGATATTTTGTGACCATAAAATAAGTTGTACGACTTAAATGTTGTGATTTATGA